GAATGAACATTGATTAATACAATTTCATTTACAGTTTTTGCCAAATATTGCAAGATATGGTTGCTCAGCTCATACTATACAACTTGTGATTGGTAAATCTTTAATTCCTTGTCAAGTTTTTTTGGCAAGATCTAAAAGGTTAATAAATTTTTTCATGTCACCAAAACAGAATGAATTATTATTAAAGGCACAAAAATTAAACAACTGTGATAATGATTGTGATATTGATGATGTTGATATTAATGCTCAGACTATCCAAAACAACAACAACTATTTAAGTGCAATTGGAGATGTTCCAACTCATTGGAACTCTTCTTATCTGGCTTGGGAAAGGATTTATAATTTGAAAGATGCAATTTATACAGCTTTAAATACTATATTAAGAAATATAAAAGATTCTCAATCAAAAAAAGATTACAATTGATTAAAAAAAATTATGTTGCAAGAAGAAGAATGGGATTTCATGCTTGAGATGATAGGTGTATTGGGTCCATTTTATGAATTTACTCAGATTTTGGGTGCCAGTGATTATGTTACCATTAGCCTTGTGTATCCTTTGATAAATACATTGAAGGAAGAATGCAAAAACACAACAAATAATGTTTATGATTATGAGGTGGATTTTGAGTCAACTGATGATGTTTTTGATGATGTTGATGTTGTGTATGAAGAAGAAGATGAGGAAAATGATAATGTTGGTAAAATTGGTAAAAATAAATCAACCACAAGATATGTTTGGTTTAACTGATGCAATAAAATCATTGTTATATAAATATTTAAATTATTATTGGAAACCTCCAACAGCAGAAGAATTATTAGGTTGTGTACTTGACCCAAGAACAAAAAAAATCAAATTTTCATCTCAAACTATACAAGAACAAACATTTACACTTTTAAAAACTAAATTTATGGAATTTTCTCAAATTGAATCACAAATATCTACTGACAATTCTATACCAAAAAAAATTATTAAATCAAATAAAATATATAAACCAACATTATTGGAATCTACTTTTGATAGTCAAGGAAAATCTGCATTAGGTGAAGTAAGTATGATTATAAATTTTGAAAATTAATTATCAGTATTAATGCTATTAATTCAAATTTTAGGTTGATGAATATCTATTATTAGAAGAAATAAATTGGAAAGATGATCTATTCTTGTGGTGGAAACATAATAAAAATAGATTTCCTGTTTTGTCAGAGATGGCTACTAAATACTTGTGTGTGCCTGCAACATCCACTCCAAGTGAGAGATTATTTAGTCAAGCTGGAAATACAATGACCTCAAAAAGAACAAAGCTTAATCCACTTTTATTTGAAAAGATTGTTTTTTTGAAAAAAAATATTGATAATTTTGATAGAATGTAAATGATTAAATAAATTTATTAACAATGAATATTCACTGAATAATTATTCACCGAATAATCAATTTAATGATCAAATGAATATCTGAATTTTTAATGATTCACCAAATGATTATCCGAATATTAAATTTAATTATAAAATGAATGAATATTCAGTGGGTACAACCTCTAACTCGAAATATTAATGATTTTTTGATCATTTAATATGAAATTTCCCCCGCATTTATATAATAAATTGATTGACATTTCTCTGATTCATAGACGGATCATCAATTAAGTTATTCTATTTTGATTTTTATTATTTTTAATTATAATTTACAATAATGGGATGGGATAATAGTCAGGTTTAGAAGAACCACCAACAATACTATATGCACAGCCTATAACCTCCGCAGTTGCTAGATTTATAACACCAACTACAATACTGTATTGATTAGGTAATTCTGCTGGTACATTAACATTCAATACTTGAGAAAATGGTATTTTTTGGTCGGTTTGCGCACTAGTTTGATTACCTACGGGTTTCAGAGATACAGTATTAAAAAATTCAACAATGGTATTGTCATTATCGTGGACAGGACGACTTAGTGTTCCAGAAATAGTAAAATCATCAGTTTGTCCAGGAACGACAGGATCAGTTGAAAGTACGACAGTGAGTTGAGGTGGTTTTCTTCCATTTTCTGTAGGAGGACATTGTTTAAAGAAAGTAGTTCTTTTAAGAAGTTGATGTGGAATAGCATTGACCACCATGGAGAGCGTAGCCAATAAAAGGAAAGCAAAAATAAACTTCATGATTTCTTTGTAAAGATGGAGTTTTATCTGTATAAAATTTTATTGTGAATTTTATTATTGATTAGAGTAAATTGAAATCGCTGCCTTTTTATAAGAAACAAAGTTACCCAGACTAATTATATTTCATATTCACGGAAATAAGTAATTGTGAAATTTAAAAAATAAATTTGTCATTTCATGTAAATTATGGACGTTCATTACATAGTTACTTTATTATTTGAGAAATCCCAAAATTGAATGTTATACTTGTGAAATTCAATCAGCCAATTAGAATTTCGTATCCAAATTCAGTTCCAGATGTATGAAAATTCGGTGTTAATGTATGAACCTCCATGTAATTGACGTCCTCAGGAATTAAAAATTTTATTTGATTAAGATTAGATCAACTGAACTGCCCTCATAAATTTGTTGATTAAAATTTATTTAATCTTAGGATTTGATTAAGATTTATTTTACTATTAAAAAATAAATCTTACCCTCTGAGTAAGATTTACAAACCAAATTTTAAATTTTTATAAAATAAAATAAATTTTTTAAAAAAAATAACATGTTTTTTTGCAGAGTAGGGTTCATGACTGTGATCCTACCCCCATTTGAATATTCGTAAATCCAAAAATTTCAAAAATGTATGTGTATATGTTGTACGTGAAAATGAAATTATGTGAATTCGCAATTCACATATGTGAAATTCAAATTTACATGCGTGAAATTC